TTTGAAGATCGGAAACCGACTTATTCCGGAATATGCAGCTTTTGAGATAAAGCGTTCCGGGTATGGTGCCCAGTCGTCGGGGATGAGCGGTCATAATTTTTTATTTTTTTATATTTTTTAATTAAAAATGACCCTAATAATTTAGAGATATCTGAACCTATATATCCGGATTAAATATGCACCTAGGAACTTATTTTTGTAAAAAATCTCATTTTTGTCCAGGTAGGCCATTTTCAGAATTGACATGTTTGCGTGCTCATTACTCAAAACAATGACTTGCGACTTAGTCCGTATTATGCTGGAGCGGGTCACATATAGTGAGTTTTTACAATATTTAAAGATAATTTATTTACTTTTAGCCAGGTAGTTACTTTGTTTAATTCAGTGTTCATTATTCTTTCAAGGATATTTAGATCTTTTCCATTTAAAAATATATTAGTGTCATCAGCAAACATAAGGAGAAATAAATTATTAGAAACAGTGGCTAAATCATTGATATAGATGAGGAAAAGTAATGGCCCAAGTATAGAACCTTGTGGGACACCATATTTCACAGTCTTTTTTGCACCATTAACCCTGTTATATCTCACAAATTGTTGCCTATTTTCTAAATAATGTCCCATCCAATTTAATGCAATGCCCCTCACCCCATAATACTCTAATATCTGAAGAAGTATATTATGATCCACAGTGTCTCTGAAAAATCTTATGATCACACGCCTTTGAAAAATCAAGAAATAGTCCTATGACATATTCGCCCCGATCTAAGGCAGCTGTTATTTTATCGATTAAAATTATTAATGCCATATTTAAGTTGAATGTTTCTTTCTAAATACTGTGTCTATTGAATCACCACAGTCCAATGCTGATGTCCAGTCTTCGAACGTTTCTAGAAGATTTGTCAGGCAGCTTTTTCCTGCCGTGAACCCGTGCTGGTCAGGTGTGAAAAGGTCATTAATGTTTAAGTGCTCCACAATGTGATCTTTTACCAGGGATTGCATCACTTTACATGTTACACTTGTTAGTGCCACCGTTCTATAATTTCCCGCATTAGTCCTGCTTCTCTTCTTGAAGATTGGGGTGATTTATGAGCATTTCCAGGCTGTTGGTACCTTGCCTTCTTGTAGCGACGATTCAAAAATGATGCTCAGCGGTTTAGCGAGACCCTCTGCGCACTCTTTGAGAAATTTTGTCTGGCTTGACCATATCAAGTTTCTTTTTGATGCTCTCCGTGGTAAAGCGAATGTTTCTTATGGTGTGATCATTTTCAACTTTGTTGTCAAATACTGGTATTCCTTCTGTTCTCCTCCTTCTTGTATAAAAACTGAATAGAAAAAGTTGTGCAGCAATGATGCAGCATCTTTGTCCGAATTTGTAAGCGTTCCATCTTGTCTCTTTAGTTGGGTTACACCAACTTTCACTTTCTGCTGGTTGCGTGTGTAGGCATAAATTTTTTTGGGATGTGTCTTGAAGGAGTCTACTAAGTGTTTTTAGCTCATCTGACATAGTCAGATGCAGCTTGTAGAATCGCATGATCGTCCGTGCGTCCGTGCGTCCGAGCGTGCCGTCCGTGCGTCCGTCAACAGTTTGGGCACAATCTTAACCGCTCGACGTCACGGTCACGATATTCGGGGACGTGGGGGGTAATCCGAAAACGAGTTGGATGTCGAAGCTGGGGGGTCAAAGGTCAAAGTCAAGAGGTGTAAAAGAAGGGGGAACATTAACTCCTTAACTTAAGGTATAGGGAGAAATGCAGAAATTGCGGCATCATATCTAAACGCGCTCGACTAAGGCTCGTGATAGTTGGTGTATAGCATCATGGTAGGCAAAAGCATCACTGTGCCGAAATTGGAGGTCACAGGTCAAAGGGTCAATGGGCACAGGGCAGATTTTAAGCATTTCTGAGGACATGGTCTGACGGAGCGATTGAAAAACTTTTTTGTTTCAGCGGTGGACCTAGCATTTTTATGGCTCTTATTGAAAGGACCATGAAATGTCCCTTCTGCTGACATTGCGAAGAGTAAGTGTCGGATAACCTTTTGACCCTCAAGGGAGGTGTTAAACTTGATTTGTTGACTGTCTGTTAGAAAGGAATTTGACTGCCGGGTTTGCTAGTAGAATCATATACATGCCTGTATGTATGAGGCTTACAATGTCACAGTGAAATTTCAAAAAGCTAAATTTGGTTAAAGAAGGTGGTATGTTCCTTAAATCTATGTCATTCTGTACTGTCAGTATGTTACATGTAACGTATGCCACTGCCAGTGGCTGTGCCAGTGCATGTGTTGTGCAGTTTTTGCCTGCCGTTAATTGGTTACAGGTGGCAGCTCTCTATTGCAATTTGAGCCTGTAGGCTTGCGTAGGTAAATGGATGAGTGCTTACTATTCTGTCTTGCAATAGTTGTTGCTACTACGTATGATGGGAGCTTCCATCTTTAATCTGAAGACACTTAAACGTACGCGCCATTCGTGGCAACTTTCATAACGATCCCAAACGAACATTCTTTTGAGAAGGTTCCTGATACCATCCCTGCTGCATTCCTCTGTTTCGGCGTGTATGTGAACAATTTGGGACTAACAGGTTTACTAAATCCCACACTCCACCACAAGATGTCACCGCCCATATGACGTTAGATGAGCGCTGTCGCTCTGCGGCACTTGTTCGTGGTCTCGTCTGGTGTTCCTGCACGTCTCTCCGGCCTTGTTTCTCTGCTTTGCATAGTCTTCATAGTCACGTCTTCTACCTAGGCTCAACCATCTCTGGAAGAGTTTGTGCTTCTTTTTTACTGCCTTCTGAACTGCTTTCTTCATCCATGTTGGTTTTGAGCCTTTATTGCGTGGGGCATATCTTGGTACAAATGTGTTGCATAATTTGTCTAGTACTGTGTTTACAAATTCGCTCCAAGATGATTCTACGTCATTGGCATTTAGAACTTTGGACCAATCTGTGGTTAGTAATTCGTGGTTGATACTGTTGTAATCCCCTTTCCAAAAATTTAGACCTTTGCTAGTTCCATCTCTTTTCCCCGGTTCTAGATAGGTGAGTAGGGTCCAAGACAGACCAACATGGTCACTTTTCCCTAGCGGTCCTAGAGTGATCATCATTTGTATTGTATACAGTATTGTAACTTCGTAACCTCGCCATGATTAGTGGATCATCATGAAGGGGTAGTTTGGAACCCTGCAAATGTGTTTCACATGTGCTAAACTAGGCTTGCCACTTTGGCCGAGTGATTCACTAATTGTAGGCCTATATTGTATTTGTAACGGTAAACCACACTAAAGTTTAAACTTTAATTTTAATTGCAGATATATGTGGGCGATTTAGGGAGCGGAGCGTCGAAGCATGATCTGGAGCAGGCGTTTGGCTATTACGGGCCGCTGCGTAACGTCTGGGTGGCTCGCAATCCTCCAGGGTTTGCCTTCGTCGAGTTTGAGGACCTCAGGGATGCAGAGGATGCCGTCAGGGGTCTGGATGGACGGTAACAACTACATTTATTACAATAATTCGATAAGCAACATGCCAGCTAAATAATAACCGTATCATGCTTAAGGACCATAATGTAAATAAGTGTGCTTGTTACATATATATTATCACTATATATCCTCAGTAGTTATCTAAAATCTTTAAAGAATTTTTAAAAACGTGATTGTATTAGTACGTATATATATGAATAATTACTTAAATAATTAAATAAAAAGTGAATAAATATAATATATAAAACCATGCCAAATATATCTTGTGACATTGGATATGATAAACTAGCGAATGTAGAACTAAGGAACGACTATATTAAGCAGTGTGTCACCATGATCTGACAGGAACTGGAAGCACGTCTTTGCCTGTCTCACGTTGCAGGTCCCTGTGCGGGTCTCGCATACGGGTGGAGTCGTCAACAGGACGAAGCCGCAGTAGGTTCCGGGGGCCACCACCGAGCGGCCGCGCCTTCAACGCGGACGATCGCTGCTACGAGTGTGGACAAAGGGGACACTACGCCTATGACTGCTCGCGCCGACGCATGGGAGGCGGAAGCGGCGGCAGAGGCGGCGGCAGCGGCGGCGGCAGCGGCGGGAGGCGACGCTCTCGTTCTGCGTCGAGGTAGGTCGTTATCCCGTGTCTGTTTCCTGGTTGTTGCCTGTCTAACATCGTACATTCGGGGTGTTAAGCCAATAGGTGTACGCGTGTGATATTGTGTGGTTTGAAACATAGGTGTACGTGTACCGGATAAAGGTGTTCTACATATATTTTATGTAGACTGTTCTGTTAGGCTAATGTTATGGATGGCTGCAATTTCTGGTTTGGCAGCTGTCTTTATTAGATGCCAGTTCTTTTGTTATTAGAATTTTTGCATTGATATCCCATATGTGTGTATTTGTCAAGTAACAGACAATTCAATTCCAATAATAAATGCTGCGTATATGTAATTTTTACATATTTATAGACATATCAATGATGGGAATGGTTTAAAAAAAATAAAGCTATCAGTTTCATGGATTTTATGTGTAGATAAAGTAATGTATACATCGTGCAATATTTGATACCAGCCATGTCCTTTTGAATCTTGATTTTTTTTTATAAAACAAGTGTCACCGCATACTGTTGTACACACAAAAGTGCATGTAGGAATTTTTCGTCGAAAACATTAGCTATTGCACGTACACGTGTATGCATTGCCGTCACATTCCATCTTGAAATACTTGGTGAGCTGTAATGCTCTATTCATGTGCCTGTTTGCCTACAAAAATGGTTGTGCTCCCCGAAGGTGCATTCCTTGATGGCACCAGCGCATGACATTGTGTGTATATTGATGTTGGCTGATGTTACAGGCTCGTTCGTTGACACTTGAAACACGTGAATGTAGACACGAACGAACCTCGTTGATTGCATCGCGCACGCTGCCTCACGCAGCGGCAAGCGCCCGCGTCTGCTTCCTGCATCTACGCAGTCGTCCGTCCGTCTGTACGAGCGCGGGCGAGCGAGCGATCGAAAGATACCAGCTCTCATTGCCGATCGTCGGCGCCCCCTCTCCGCGACCGAGACCCCGCTTCATCTCCTTCTGCCGCAGTCCTACGCTCCTGCTACACGTACTCCTAGAATAACCGCAGACCGGCGAAACGAGTGCGACGCACGCCCGCACGCGCGACATCCGCGAATCACAGCGCTCCGATATCGCTGCATCGGTGAGATCAGGGAGGCACGGCCGTCGCGAAATCCAGACGCACGAGATATTCGGTCGTCGCTGCTGCACGAAACACGTCGAAATTTGGCCGGGTTTGTCGCTGCTGTTGGTCCCCGGTTCTTCGGTGATCGCGACTTCGCACGCAATTCTGCGGCTCTTCCCGATCCGTTATGTCCATCTCTCGCCGCCGCCGGCTGTCGTGGAAGGACATACGTGTACGTGTGCGTAGTGTAGCGTTGTTTATCGTTGCTCGGGAAAGTTCTAGAACGCCTGCGCTGCCGTTGCTAACATAAGATGTCACAGTTGAGTCATGGCAGCCCACGTAATTTTTGAGTGTCTCCGCATTGTTTAGGGTACACTCGCAGGGCGTCAAGTTCCTATTTTTCCCTATTTTCTGGACAATTCCTATTTTCTCCTATTTTCTGGACAAATTCTTATTTTTTCCTATTTTTGAGGGCTTTTAATTTTTCTGAATCCAGAATTGTATGTATCCTTCTCAGAATGCAGAAATTTACATTTCAGGTGACCAAATTTTCAAAAATTTTCTGTGGGAGGACCCCCAGACCCCCACCGTGACCTCTTACTTTAAATTAACGTAATATACTCTTTACTATCACAGATTTTATTTCAGTAAAGTTATTTCTCAGTTGGATGTGGTATGTGTATCCAGAGGGGGGGGGTCCAGGGGGTCCGGACCCCCATTTTTTAACCCAAAAAAGGGAAAACACATAAAAGAAAATTTTCTGCTTAAAAATTTGTAATTCCATCTTGCATTCTAGACATCAAAATTACTGCTCAGATGCTCTCAGAATGCACCAATTTTTCAAAATTTTTCTTGGGGGAGAAAGACCCTAAACCCCCCCCCCCTCCTAAGTGGCAACAGGCCTAAAGCCTGGCGCACATTGCCGAACATTTTCCCGAACAAATGTTCGTCCGAACAAACGTTTTTGTCTGGCAATGTGCGGGTGAACAATTGCTGAGCGCACATTGCCGAACATTTTGCAGCGAACAACCTTGTGGCGCCGTCTAGTAGCTGTGTTGTAAAGAGTCACGTGATCGGCGTGTGGCGAATCAGCGTGATAGGCATTTACAAATGTTCCTAGAATTGTTTGACATTCAGCGCACATTGACAAACATTCGACGAACATTGTTCGAGATATCAAACATTTCCGATTTTCAGAAACATTGTTCGTTACAAATGTTTGGCAACTTTTTCCACCGCACATTGCCGAACATTTCATGGAACATTGCTACGATAATGTTTTTGAGCAAAATGTTCGGCGACTTTTTTCACCGTACATTGCGAACATTTCATGGAACATTGCTACGATAATGTTTTTGAGCAAAATGTTCGGCAATGTGCGCCGGGCTTTAGACACGTCACATAAGCTGCCTTCGGCACCTTTTTATAAAAGTGCCCTTTATTTCTTACTGGACTCCCCCTTTTTCAAAAAGCCGGATCCGCCCATGTATACATGTACGTCATACTATTTTGGAGTAGTCTACATGTATGGGTGCTTATGCATGTATAAATTGCTTATCAATTTTAACATGCATTTCTCATTAAAACCTCAAAATATTGTTCGCATGTGATGTAACTCCAAATATGTATATTAATAAAACCATTTGTGGTGGATCGGGATGGCTGTAGGGGTGTTGGGAGGCCATCTAACGCAACAAATATTCCTATTTAACATGTATTTTCTCACCAAAATTCCTATTTTCCTCCTATTTTTTCACATCTGGAATTCCTATTTTCCTATTTTTTGAGCATCACTTGACGCCCTGCACTCGCTTCCACTCGCATTTGAGATTTGTTCCTGGTTCTCGGCAATACAGTATTAAACAACATGGTAGTTTATTACCGTCATTTCCCACGTGCCGTATATATGGTCACTGCTGTTTCTGAGGTGTGCTTGATGGTTGCTCGCATTGATACGGATTGCAGTTTTTGAAGGCAATCGTCTGGATTCACAGTACTTGAGCTCGAGTAAAGCCCGGTTTTTGAAAGGGCATCAGAGTAACCGAGGAAGCCGTCTGACGTGTTTTCGATTGCACCTTCTTGCAGGGACCGGAGAAGCCGCAGCAGGAGTAGGAGTCGCAGCAGGAGCCGCAGCAGGAGCAGGAGCGGTGACCGGCGTTCCCGCAGCCGCAGCCGCGGACACAGCAAACGCTCGGCGAGCCGCAGCCGCAGCAGGTAACCGTGACGACGACGGCTGCAGCGATGCTTTGTCCGTTTGCTAGAGGATGCTCGCGAACGGATAGAGAGAGAGAGGTGCCGCTTTGGCTAGAAATTGCATGTATCTGATGGAAATGAGCTTTGCTACAAAAGTTACGCCGGCTCTCTTAAGCACGTCGTTGACCCAGGGTCGCATGTAGATGCCTTCGCACAGCAGGCAGGGGTCGAAATAAGCGATGGTCCAATGGTCCGGGGCCATCAAATAATCAGGAGGACCATCCGATTTTCAAAGTCAATGGTCCGACGGACCATTGAATATTTTGGTCCCATTTTACGATAATTTTCTTTGAAGTTTCCACGTTCCAATATAAAAAGTGAATAAAGAATTACTGTATCGTTTGATACATTCATTGTAGGTGAATAATTAAACCATTTTATCACCATGTAAAATCTCTTTCTTACGCTTGCACGCCGCATTACTTTTAGAGAACAATTTGAAATTTAGGAGGACCATCTAAATTTCAAACTTGATGGTCCTGTGGACCATCTCTTTTTGTCTCCTTATTTCTACCCCTTTTCGCACCTTCGACTATCCACACGTGCTAACTGTGGCCTCTGCAGATTACTCGCGTGCCGTCACGACGTGATCGTACGATGATGACATGTGTCGAAATAATGAACTAATTGATGAACGAATTGGTGAACTAATTGGTGAACTAATTGATGAACTAATTGGTGAACTAATTGATGAACTAATTGATGAACTAAATTATGAACTAATTGATGAACTAATTGGTAAACTAATTGATGAACTAAATGATGAACTAATTGATGAATTAATTGATGAACTAAATGATGAACTAATTGATGAACTAAATGATCAACTAATTGATGAACTAAATGATGAACTAAATGATGAACTAATTGATGAGCTAAATGATGAACTAAATGATGAACTAATTGATGAATTAATTGATGAACTAATTGATGAACTAATCTCCGTGTTTCTGTTGTAGGAGTGACACACCGCGTCGCTCACGCTCGGCATCCGCACCGAGGAACGGCGTGAAGACTTAGAGGCGAGAGGAGACATGCCCCTAACCCTTTGTTGGCATGCGAGGAGGTTGAGGATTGCTGGAGAAACAGCAGGCAGCCGTGCTAGACCATACCCTTTGACCATGGTACTAGGATTGTGCGGCAGGGGCATGGGGGAGACCACCAAAGATTGGAGGTTTCTATGATTGAAGATTGCTGCTGGAATTATAGACGGGCGAGCGAACGTCACGCGCGTGGTTAGAACGTCGGTTGGGATTTGTAATCGGGAGTAGATTTGTTTGTCTTTGGCTGTTGGCGAGAGGGGAGTCAGCGAGGTTCCTAGATGAGGGAAGTCTCGCGTCGTATCGCAGAATCACGGTCGCCATCGGTCGCCACTAGGTGGCGCTCGTATTGCGTCAGGGCACCACATTGTCGCTAGCCTGCGCCGGGGAGTGTCGGAGGCCGACCGTTTATTTTTTCATTTGCTTGTTCATTCGTTCGTTCATTCGATTCACTGCGCGACGAATGCCATTGCGCGCAAGAGGATGTGAGGTTGCCACGACGATGAGGATGTCCTCCTCTGTGTCCTGCAGTCGCTGTTTTAACACAGCGTCAACGATTTTATTGTTTCGGACGTTTAGATTTCAAGTTGGGTGTGGCCGTGTATCTGGGACACGTGTAGGAGGAAGCCAGTAGGTGGCGCTAGTGCTCCACGAAGCATTAATTTGCCGTGTCTCAAGAGTACTTTTTATATTTTAAATGTGTTTGTCTTGGCACCTCCTGTAAATTGTATTTTTCAAAGATCGGGTTTGATGGTTCTTATATTATGACCGTATAAATTTCACAATCCTAACATATAGTCTGTGTAAATATAGTGAAATAAAGAATGAATAAATTCACAAGTTTCCATGTTTATCTAGCAGAAATGTTGTCGCAGATATCAATGTTGCCATTATGCATTATGTGTACTGTGTAATAATAGTTCTTATTCAAATGTCAATAAAATAAAAATTTCTTGTATGAATACTAATTGCATTGATTGTTAATTTACAGCAATAAGCATTTAAGTAGTCTAACAAAAAAGGTGATTAATTAAACATGATTTATTTGCTTGTAAAAACAACCAATCAACGATAGTTGGTACACAATTATCAAATATGGCGCCTACCCATTCGCATTTTAAAGTTGGAGAGACTGCACACCCAACGAGTACTAAAATTGAAATTGGCACACGTATAGACGTTGGTAACTATAGAAATGTAGAAACCAGAGCTGTTCACACATCTACTGCAGGCACATTACTAAGGCATGCACAGCTTCATGGTGTATCTATGTCACCATCCATGATTTCAAAGTGGTGAGAGACACGAGTAGCTTTCAGCTGAACGTTATAACACGTCATTACATCACAGAAAGGCAACGTGAGCCGCACGTCATGTAACGCACGTCGAACGGCTGCTGCTCACATTGTTCACGTAACCTTAGAACAGCTATCATTGTTCACGTAACCTTCGAACAGCTATCATTGTTCACGTAACCTTAGAACAGCTATCATTGTTCACGTAACCTTTGAACAGCTATCATTGTTCACGTTACGTATGTCCGTTACGTATGTCGAACAGCTGCTGTTGTTCACGTTACGTATGTCGAACAGCTGCCGTTGTTCACGTAAAGTATGTCAAACAGCTGCCGTTGTTCACGTAATGCACTGCGAACAGCTGTTGTTCACGTTACGTATGTCGGACATCTGCCGTTGTTTAAGACAACGCCACGAGACCAGGTTCGTCAGTCACTAGTGACCAACGTTCCGGAACACGTGAATCCAACAACAAAAAGAATGACTACGTTACATGGCGCGACAATGTCAGAAAGGAAGCTTCCCATTCTACAAGAATAGCTCATTATTCACGGAATAGTTTAATTATTCTATGGTTCAACATGAACCATTAATTTTGCATGATTGTATGTAAAAATAACATTCTATATAGATATGATAATTAACAGGGGGATCGGTCATATTTTCGTGATACCACACGTAACACGCCCCATCATATTTTTTATATATGCTTAAACCATACCATATGACCGAAACACCCATAATTATTAAAACAGAAATTATAAATTTAGGCTAATTAATTGATTAATAAAATTAGCATTCCCTGATAAAGCAATATCTTAGATGATTTTATCTTGCTGTTGACAAAATTAATGTTGAATTTTACATTTTTTTAACGTTTTTTTTATGCAATTCAGTTTTTGGTGCGAGTTGTTTCTTTAACGCATAATCCAGCACTTGACAGTCTTAACTTGGAACGGTGTCAGCTTTACTTGGAATGTAGAGTTTTTGACCTCGTAGGGGGCACTGCTGTCATCCTTTTCAAAAATGTCACACCTAGTCAAAGGAGAAATGAGTGTAAGATAACATATTGACCGTGGCAAGAGTGAGTAAAAAACTTTGTTCATTATAAAACAAACTATATATAACAAACTAAAGTTTTGTTATTATTCATTCCCGATGGTATTATATGATGGGAATTCATTTTAACAAGCACGACCTTTGCCGCCTAATTACTGTCGTGTTAGCAGTTGGTCCACGGTAAAATCCCAATGCAAGAAGCATTTCATTTTGTTTTACTAAACACATAATTATGTCCACACTTAAAGACCAATCGATCCATGCAAATCCATCGACTGGTAGAGGAACCACGATTTTACTGCATAGGAAACAATGGGCCCTTGTCAGAAACAAAATTAGTCTCAACATGATCGTTTTCTCTTAGACCGCTGACAGACACAGAAATATAGAAAAAGTCAAGAAAATGAAAAATCCAACAAAATTTACCCCCGAAAAAATGTCAAAAAATGAAAATTTGTCAACAGTCTATGAGAAATATAAAACATAACAACAATAGAAATGGAAACGGAATGTTAGCATCACGTGGAAACTAATTATCGTTCTGACAACGGGGCCCTGGACTTCTCTACCCTGCGCATAAGAAACTTGTAACTTTACCATGTTTCTGTCAACAGTCTACAAGAAGAAAGTTATAATGTTAAGACTAATTTTGTTTCTGACAAGGGCCCATTGGTTTCCTATAATGTAAAATCATGGTTCCTCTACCAGTTGATAGATTTGCATGGATCGATTGATCTTCAAGTGTAGACATATGTGTTTAGTTCATGACGATGGGGCTCTGGTCCATTCCCTACGACTCCCCGTCATGGTCGCAGGGAAGGAAGCTGCGAACTTACTCGAACACCTTCTGCACGGGTAGTCCGACATTGATCGTCGCGTGCGCCGTGCTCCCGTACGCCTCGTACATCCTCACAATTATGGCTTCAGGATTCATCTCGTCCTGAAACCCACAAACGTGACGTCACCGCTGTTATCACCATACAGACGTGTATAAACTTATGCACAAACGTGACGTCACCGCTAATGCTGTCATCTCTATATAAACGTGTATAAACTTATGCACAGAGTCGATAAATATCGTATGTGTAGAGTGAAATACGTATGTAGGATACAGATGAGATGTGCGTGTGTTCATACTGTTATGCTGTGGTTATTTGAATGAATATTCTTTCTCATTCATTAAACAAACTATACCTTGGGAAATGATTTCTTAAAAGAGGCATGATTGCATTGGCATGGCATATTAATAGTAGTCGATGTATAATCAAGGATGAAGTTAAATTCTCGTGCCCTTGCACTGAGTGCATTGCGGAACACACAACGCACAGACACATGCACGCACCTATACTCACGCACAAAACACACATGCCTATACACACGAATGCACACACACACGCACACACGCACGCACACACACGCACGCACACACGCACGCACGCACACGCACGCACGCACACACGCACGCACGCACGCACACACACACACATGCACGCACACATGCATGCACGTACCTTCTTCACCGTCTCCAATACCACGGCTGGGTTGTCGACAGACAGCCAAGATTTTGCGGTGACGGGGACCGAAACCCTGGCGACACCTAGTGGCGAGTTGAGGTTGTAGGCTTGCTGCACAACTCCGGCCGACTGGAACGTACCTGATCAACATGAGAACAACATGATGAAGCCCTAGTCAGGTTGCTCTAACACTATTACATGCCGCTCTCACGCTATTACATGCTGCTCTCACGCTATTACATGCCACTCTCATGCTATTAGTAATTACATGTCCCTCTCACACTATTACATGTCCCTCTCTCGCTATTACATGCCGCTCTCTCGCTATTACATGCCGCTCTCACGCTATTACATGTCCCTCTCTCGCTATTACATGCTGCTCTCACGCTATTACATGTCCCTCTCTCGCTATTACATGCCGCTCTCTCGCTATTACATGCTGCTCTCACGCTATTACATGCCGCTCTCTCGCTATTACATGCCGCTCTCTCGCTATTACAGTCGCTCTCACGCCTCATTACATGACCGCTCTGCTGCACTATTCACATTGCTGCCTCTCATCGCTATTACATGCCGCTCTCTCGCTATTACTATCGCCGGCCTTCTCTGCTATTACATGCTGCTCTCACGCTATTACATGCCGCTCTCTCACTATTACATGTCGCTCTCACGCTATTACATGCCGCTCTCACACTATTACGTGTCTTCTCGGTGCCACTCGGAGAATAAATGCGCGCCGTACCTTTGTGTGGCATGATGGCATAGGTGAACTCGTGCTTGCCTATGTCCGAGTTGGCATTCGGGGACTTTGGAGCCCTCAGCCTGTAGCCGAACAATAGTCGGAAGTTATTTGAGCAGTGGGAGTGAGAGCGCGTCACTCTCCCCTACTGCTGCTGCATGTGAACGCCTCCCCCCTCACTCACTCTGCCCATACCGTGTCCCGCTACTGCTGTGCAGTGAACGCCTCCCCCCCTCACTCACCTCTGCCCAACCGTGTCCCGCTACTGCTGTGCAGTGAACGCCTCCCCCCCTCACTCACCTCTGCCCAACCGTGTCCCGCTACTGCTGTGCAGTGAACGCCTCCCCCCCTCACTCACCTCTGCCCAACCGTGTCCCCCTACTGCTGTGCAGTGAACGCTTCCCCCGTCACTCTCACTCACTTCTGCCCAAACCTCACCCACCTCCATCTACCCCCAGGGCCGTAGGCTGAGCAAATTCCTAGGGAGGGGAAAAAATTCACGACTCAGCTGTGCAATGATGAGCGACGGGCTCAGCTCTTGATCGACGTCCATAGTGTGGTAGGGGTAGGTATGAGACAAGGCTTTCACGGATAAGTGACCAAAAAATCACGTTAGGGTTATTAATGATTATTAGCTAAGCTTATTTTATTTTTCCTTGTATTATTTTTGCTCCAAAATCTAGGGTGGGGGGGGCGGGTGCCCCCCTTACCCTCCCAGAAGCTACGGCTCCCTGACCTCCCTCCGAACCTCACATTGTATCGCGCATTGCTGCTACGCACACGTGTTGTATTGCACACATCATTGCTGTGTTGTATCTGTGTATTACTACTGTGTTGCGTATTGCTGCAGTACTCACAGTGACAGTCTTAGCACGTTCTTGTAGCAGGAGTAGCCATACTTGCAGTCATTCAGCAGGGCCACGCCGACACCGGTCTCTGACATATCCGCCCACTTGTGGCCGCAAACCTGGAACGCAAGACGAAAATTACACCACCCGCGAAGCAAATGTCCTATTGTTTCGCATCGTTCGACGCGCCACGCGTGCTACGCTGCGCAACGAAAATGGAGCACACTCACGAAATACTTTGAGGTTTCTCGCGCTATTACGTATGTCGTCGGTCGTGCAATGAGAAACAATTGAGCGATCGTTTCAAAGAACTGGTGACTGCAACCACTACGCATCATTGAAATATGCAAGTGAGCGCGGCACATATAAATAAAGCAAACAGTAACGACTAATGTTGCAATGAGCCACGTCTTTCAGTACAGCAAAATTTAATACAGCTAGTCCAGTACAAGGCCGTACGCAGGAAATTTTCTGTAGGGGGGCAAAGATACTCCTCATGCCTCCTGTGCCCTAACGTTTCGTAATTTTACATTTCTATATATAAAGTGTCAGGGAACAATTTTCAGCCAAAAAATTGCATAGCAAATGTGCTATACAAAATAAACTTTGCATAGCAATTGTATAAATGTGTATAGCATTTTTTTTCAGACAATCACAGTGCAAATTTACACCGCAGTGCATGCTTGGCGTG